CAGTCACATGCCAGATAGTTTAACATAATTTATAAACATTTTCAAATGTTTCTTTGGAAGAAAGCCAACTATTCTTCATACTTTGTACTTAAAATAAATAATTTCACAGAATGTGTGGAAGTTGCCAAGAGCAGCAAAGGTTCACAAAAATTACAGGAGAACATCCCAGATTGTACCATCCCCTAATTAATATGTTCACCTTTTGCAAGGATGGAAGATACACCCCTACTATAGAAGCTGAATGACCTGTGGCTGCAATCATGTTCAGTCCAGGAGGGAAGGAGGGAAACGCAGCCAGAAAAACAATGCAAAAATGGTAGGCATTCCCATAATGCCCCTGGAAATGATGCCAATGTCAACTAAGCAAGAGCTGTGTTGACAACAATGTTCACATGCTTTCCATGTACAGAGGCAGTAAATGAACTCGTGATGTTGGGGCACAACGTACACACAATATGCACACAAATGTCACAGAGCACGCACACACAAACACATTATTATTGTTAATTATTAAATTTCTATATTGCCCATCATCTGACGATCACAGTGTGGTTTGCAATACCAAAACACATAACATAGTAACAAACGAAAACAATAACCACCACCCCAATTTCAAAGGCCACGGGTTGTTTAATTAGCCGAAAGCTTGGGAAAAGAGGAATGTATCTGCCTGGTGCCTCAAGATATGTAATAAAGACACCAGATGAGTCTCCCTGGGGAGAACATTCTGCAAACAAGGAGCCACCACAGAAAAGGCCCCAGAGCACAACCAGCAACACCAGGGGTGCAGTGTTGCGTTTTGCTGCTTGGGGCGAAGCAGGAAGTGCCGCCTCACTCTGCCATGCCACCCGCACCATTGCCTCTGCCACTGCGCCACCTACTGTCACTGGCACTACCAGCACCGCATTGCCTGCTACACCACCTCAGCACCAATATAGGCTCCACTTGGGGGTACCACCTCAGCGGCTTCACTCTTCCTCATGGGTGGGCTGGCCTGAGCAACAACCCCCCAAGAACAAGTCTCTACAAGCAGGAGTTTGAATCCATTAAGGCTGCTCAAGACCACCATTTCAGAGCACAACACACCAAAGGCGGAAAGGAGAAATAGGAACAGCAACAAAGCCCACCCACACCGTTCCCCTGGGACACGGCCCGGCAGAGAACACATAATTCATTTGCATTTGACCATTTTCTTGGTATATCTAGGCTTCCGTCCTACTACACTAAGTCCCAAGTGCCTCTTCCCACTTCTTATAGGGCAACAGTAAGATTCCCCCTTTTGAATTATGGTGCTGGAGGAGACTCTTGAGAGTCCCATGGACTGCAAGAAGATCAAATCTATCCCTTGTGAAGGAAATCAGCCCTGAGTGCTCACTGGAAGGACAGATCGTGAAGCTGAGGCTCCAAGACTTTGGCCACCTCATGAGAAGAAAAGACTCCCTGGAAAAGACCCTGATGTTGGGAAAGATGGAGGGCACAAGGAGAAGGGGACGACAGAGGACGAGATGGTTGGATAGTGTTCTCAAAGCTACCAGCATGAGTTTGACTAACCTGCGGGAGGCAGAGGAAGACAGGAGTGCCTGGCGTGCTCTGGTCCATGGGGTCACGAAGAGTCGGACACAACTAAACGACTAAACAACAACAATATCCCCCCCCCAGCTCTTGGTCCAGACAACGTGGGTCTGGGTAGCCTGTAACTTTTGTTTGATAGAGCCATTTTGCTCTTCTGCAATTACTGCATTTCAGTGATTCAAGCCGCACAGTAATTTTAATCCTGCTCTGATGCTTGTAACAGTAAACATCCTTTTGCTTGAAAACAAATTGGGATTTGTTGATTTATGCTAACTCCCCCAAGTAACTAAAGCAATTAAGAGTGCAGGGTCACCTTTGTGATCTCCAATTCCTTTAAATTATTTCAATTTTTTAATTTTTTTAAATTTTGGTTCACTTTTGAATCCAAACCACAGGTAGACAAGACAGCACCAGCACTGTTAGATGAAGCCAGCTCGCTTCCACTAGGCCACACAAGGGAGAACTAGTAGTTTGTAAGGCATATACCAGTTTCATTTGCTTATTTATCTCATTTTGTAGTACATATAAAATATGAAACGATTCATTTAAACATTGAATGCTGCAACTTACAATAGTTTAGAAGCAGAAGGTAAAAGTTATCTCCAGTTGTTCCTGGTGTTTCTCAGTATTTTACCTTTTCTGTTGTCCCAATTCATGATGGTTATAACAAGATCAATTTGTTACAATTTTTGGCACTGTGAAAACACTGTTTAAAGCATTTTACAGTGTTTAGTGTAAAATGGATCCATTTTGGAACAGTCTACTACTCTTCAGAGACGTTTGCAAGTGCCCTGGGGCCTTTTGGATATGTTTTCTAATTTTTCTAGGTGTCTGGATTTACATTAAGAGTGAAGAAGGCAAGAGCTCATTGCTGAAATCAATGAACTTTTCAGTTCATTGCGATGGATTTGCGAGGATGGTCTGTGAAACAATGACTAGCCTCCTCTGAAGGATTTAAACTGGCAAGGGCTCAGTAGTACGAAACACACAGAATGCACTCTATGAAAAGTTCTGTGAAGTAACCTATGCCAAAGGAACATTTTATAACAATAACATAAACACTTCAGTTTAAATGGAAATCAAGGGAAATAAATCCCAAGCACATTCTGACTGTGGTTTCAAAAAGTTTACACACACACACACCAGGAATTTAGCCCAGAGACTATTATGTGCTAAATTCTGTTCTTTTGGCAAGAGGCACAAATACTGGAGGAATTCATCCAGACCTATTTCTATTGGCTTCAAGTGAATCCCTCAGCCAATTGCTCTAAGTCACCATTTGTGATCCCCTTGTGATTTCAATCTTGTTTTGTTTCTGAGTTTGGTTTAACCATTTCAATGCTTCTGGAATGCATGACGCTGAAAAGAAGGGCCCTTGTGTGTTGAGCACAAACTTACGCATTTATCATTTAATCACTTGAGTGTAAAACATCGCCAATGGTTGAGCTTACTGAGCCACTGGAAACTGATTAAAGGCAGCAAGTGGGGAGTAAAACAAATGAAGATGGAATCCAGCTTTTTGTACAAGGCGTCCCATAGCATACTGATGAACTTCCTTTCAGACCATGCCAAGTGACAGATGAAAAAACAATGGCCCTAAGGAGTAAAATAATAACTATGTGAAAGAGATTTCAAGTGTGGCTCAAGCTGCTTACTGATTAACATTTTTGCACACATAACACTGTTCACAGACCTATGCCACTATTCTTCACATTCAAAGGCTTTCTTGACAATTGCACAAAAATCATCATAGCTGACTCACTGTTCTCACACAGCTTAGCAGTCTGAGAGCTATGAGTGATATGCAGTGTTAGTCATACTCAGAGTAGCCCCACTGGTTTCAGTTGGTTTACTCTGCATGTGACTAATTTGGATTAGTCACCCCTTATACATGTTGTTTCATAGTGAGGGGGGAAAGTTGTGTTATGAAGAGATTCTGAAACATGAGGACACATTTTAATAGATGTCGTCGATAAAGGAATGTAAATTGTATGCACATTTTCCTTATATTACGTAGCCTTCTTTCCAATCTTTCCCCATGAAGTAAGTTGTTGAAATTGTAACAATTCGTTGTGAATTTTGTTGTGAATGCATTAGCTCAATATATGCAAACCAAAAGTATGTTGACTGAAATTATAGTTTCAGCAATATTCAGAAACATTTTAATGCAGTCTTAGGCCTGCTGCAACAAACTTTCAGGAAAGCTTTGCTGAAAGTACAAAAAGAGCATTGTTTGAGGTCATGCCAAAACAATCACTGGCTAATATTTAGGTATCATGCATTCCAGATACTGAACTTGGTCTAGTTCTTCCAATATTCAAAGCATACCCTCTGAGGATCAGATCATTAAATTATTCCTTGACATGCAAATCTTTGAAGAGAATATACATATGCATTGATGGAGTAATGCATACCCTCCAACATTTCTCCGATGAAAAGAGGAACGTCCCATTCCATAATGATAACCTTAATATTTATAACCCACACATCTTGTTGGGTTGCCCCAGCCACTCTAGGCAGCTTCCAATATGTATAAAAACATAATAAAACATCAAACATTAAAAAACCTTCCCTATACAGAATTGCCTTCAGATGGCTCCATCCATTCCAACATTCCTCCTATGAACATAGGGAATTCCTAAGTAAAAGTGGGACATTTCAGGTTCAAATCAGAAACTGGGACGACTTCTCTAAATCAAGGACGTCCCTGGAAAATAGGGGCACTTCGAAAGCATGTCAAAGTGCAAGTAGATAAATAGGTACCGCTCCAGCGGGAAGGTAAACGGCGTTTCCATGCGCTGCTCTGATTCGCCAGAAGCGGCTTAGTCATGCTGGCCACATGACCCGGAAGCTGTACGCCGGCTCCCTCGGCCAGTAAAGTGAGATGAGCGCCGCAGCCCCAGAGTCGGTCACAACTGGACCCTTTACCTTTATTATTACTTATTAGATTTATACTCTGCACCTCCCTCCAAATGAGCCAAGGGCAGCAAACATATCAATCCTAATACAATTACAACTTCTTTAAAAAAAACAGTTTAAAACTCCTAAAAAGCAATCACTGGTTGGTATCACCACTTCTGCCAGAGCAGTACTGCACATGGAAAATCAAGTACCCAAACCTGCAATTAGGTAAGTTGAAGAATAAGAAATGGATAATGGTGGTAAAAAGGAACAAAGAATCAAACACAAGTGGGACTATTTGCACAAACAAGCCAGCAGAAAAGTAAGATACCAGAACTCAGATTTAAACAAGAACCCATTGGAATCTGTTGCCTCTTATATTAAACAAAAAGCCTCTTTATTCTTGGAAGTCTCCTCACGCTGTAAAAGAACATGTCTGAAATATCATTTCCTGGCCATAATATTACTGAGCGTGTAAAAAAATAAAAAAGGCACTACTATTACAAAAACACACACCCAAGTCCTACCTTTAACTGTGCTTGTCATTAAACTCTTTCCATGCTCTTGCTGCTTTGGCTTCAAAAACTGTGGCGCAGGCGGCCCTGGAGGTTGTGGGGTATGGTAGAGGGCCTTCCCATTTGTAACCATTTGCCTCCTGGGACTTAAGTGAATATTGCTCTGGGTCACATTGCTCTGAGGAGCAACGCCTCCTCCAAGAGATGTCTTTAACTGGGAGTTTGTAGATAGGTTTCCCATAGCTGGGCTTGGGGTGCTACCACTGGACGAAGAGCAAGGAGTTCCTGCATGAACTCTGAGAGATGGGATCTGCTGTCCATTGACCACACCAGGCCTGCTGTGAGGAGTACTTGTTGTCCAATGGCTCATAGTGCATGATCTCACATTCATTGTCCAGTGGTTGTACTCTTAAAGATATGCGGTACAGATCCCCAGGTGGCGAAGACATCAGTCCAGAGTCAGTGAGGTATCCATAGTGCCTTAAGCCTGTTATAAGGGAGGGTGAGAGGACATAATAAAATAACAGACACTGTAAGAAAATGCAAGCGACATAGAGAGCAACTCTGCTTAACTACGTGGGGAAGAGATATTGATTCCTGAGCATCAAAGTAGAAGCAATCAGAGAAAAAGGCTTCTGGGGATAAGGATAAATGATTGCTGGGAACTATAATAAAGGGAAATGGTGCCCTTTCAAAAGCAGAAGTTAACAGGGAGGTCAGTTACCTTTGTACTAGTTAACCAGCCATGAAATGGAATGAGCACTGAGCAAGAAAGAAGAGTGGGCTCAGAAAGGAGAGCCAAATGCTTCATTGAGAAGAGCTTCCCTAGCCTATTCCTCTATTTTTACTTTCTGCTCATTTAAGAGAGGAGCCAAAAAGCATGCATAGCAGTCAAAAGCACTGGGATGCAAAATATCAGTGTCTGGTTATGTTTTTAAGGGGCAGGAGCACAATAAAACAGCTAAGTGCAGAATACGTCACTCCACCAGCAAGGGGGGAAATGTAAAGAACAAATGCAAATAAAGTAAAAATAAAATACCGTATTTTTTGCTCTATAAGACACACTTTTTCCCTCCTCAAAAGTAAGGGGAAATGTGTGTGTGTGTTATGGAGTGCATGCAGGCTGCGCAGCTATCCCAGAAGCCAGAACAGCAAGAGGGATCACTGCTTTCGCTGCGCAGCGATCCCTCTTGCTGTTCTGGCTTCTGGGATTCAGAATTTTTTTCCCTTGTTTTCCTCCTCCAAAAACTAGGTGAGTCTTATGGTCTGGTGCGTCTTATAGGGTGAAAAATACAGTATGCGGCATTCATTTCCAAAGTGCACCCATTAGCTAACACAAACGTGACTGTGTTAATTTTACAATTAACAGAAAAAACAGTATCTCAACAGATTACTGTGCTTAGTAGATCAGGGATGAGTGATTCCCGCATCTATCCAATGTGTGTTATATGGAGAGAGCAACTTGTGAGCAGAGGTTGCATTTGTAGAGGATAAATTAAGTAGTCAGCAAACAAATGGGAATTTTGTTCTATAAGTGTTTTCACATTTCTCAGCAGAAGTACATTTAACCCTCCTCTCCTGTCCTCACATTTTGGCCATGTTGCAGAACAACATGGAGTGTGTATGATTTAGTTGAAATGGGAGGAGGTAAAATGAGGCATGTGGTTTTGATTAAAAAGGCCGCATCCCTCCTTCTTCTGCTACTTATTCTCATTTGTGAGTGTATCTAGTGCAGTGTAGAATGTACAGTTTTTAAGTCAACTGACAACTTCATTTCAGTTTTCTGTCCTTTTGGTGTCACCAGATGTCATTGGTGACGCCAATGACATCTGGTGACACCAAAATGACATCTGGTGACTCCCATCACTCCCACGCAGCAATTGGGGGGTTGTACATGAGCAACAAAGGGACGCTGTGGGTTAAAACACACAGCCTAGAACTCGCCGATCAGAAGGTCGGCGGTTTGAATCCCCATGATGGGGTGAGCTCCCGTTGTTCGGTCCCAGCTCCTGCCAGTTTGAAAGCACATCAAAGTGCAGTAGATAAATAGGTACCGCTCCAGCGGGAAGGTAAACGGCATTTCCGTGTGCTGCTCTGTTTCGCCAGAAGCAGCTTAGTCATGCTGGCCACGTGACCCGGAAGCTGTACGCCGGCTCCCTCAGCCAATAAAGCGAGATGAGTGCCGCAACCCCAGAGTTGGTCACGACTGGACCTAATGGTTAGGGGTCCCTTTAAAGGTAAAGGTAAAGGTACCCCTGTCCGTACGGGCCAGTCGTGTCCGACTCTAGGGTTGTGCGGCCATCTCACTTAAGAGGCCGGGGGCCAGCGCTGTCCGGAGACACTTCCGGGTCAGGTGGCCAGCGTGACGAAGCTGCTCTGGCGAGCCAGCATCAGCGCAGCGCACGGAAATGCCGTTTACCTTCCCGCTATAAAGCAGTACCTATTTATCTACTTGCACTTAGGGGTGCTTTCGAACTGCTAGGTTGGCAGGCGCTGGGACCGAGCAATGGGAGCTCACCCTGCCGTGGGGATGCGAACCGCCGACCATACGATCGGCAAGTCCTAGGCGCTGAGGTTTTACCCACCACGCCATCTGCGTCCCTAGGGGGTCCCTTTACCTTTTACCTTTACCTTTACATGAGCAATATCTGGAAGGCCACAACTTTTCCAGCCCTCTTTTACCCTGTCTGGACAAATCTCTGTATTTCGGTTTCTCATGTTTCCTAGTTGATGTTTCCTTCCTCACAATTCTGCACCAGCTTCCAGGGGGAAAATTAAGTCCTAGTGAAAATTCATCTGAATTTTAGTGCAAATTTCTCCGAACATAACATTTCTGTATGCAACTTTTCCTGATATACACATTTTGGCACGCACCTTCCCCTAATATGATGCATTTTGTGTTTTAATGAATATATGCATTTTTACTTTTACCTAACATGCACTTTTTTTGTACACATTATTTGGCTGGAGAACAGCATCACAAAATCTAGAGAAGTGTGAATTTCTAAGGATAGCTGTGTTTCAGTTTGGTATATTGGTTCAGAAAGCATGAGTTAGGTAGATTTGCTTTAAAATCTGAACCAATCAGAGGTTTCTTCCTCATGTCAAATATGTACTAGGTAACTGAGGGAATATCATCTCCATAATTAGCTGAGAGGTGTGGAGAAGACTTCTGAAGGAGAAGCATTCATTTGGATAAAGGAAATGTGAATAAGTTAAAGTCTTCTGGATGTTCTGGGTGATAATTAGAATGATTTTCAAGGAATATGTGAAAATGTGTTCACCAATAAAATTGTGAGGAAGCAGCTTTCCTTTCCTCACTGTAACTACCCAGGGACGGCCCACCCATGTGGCAAGGTGAGGCAACCGCCTCAGGTGGCAGGAGCTACAGAGGCAGCAGATCAGTCTCAAAGGAATGCATATTCTCTGATGAAAATAGGGATGTCCTAAGGAAAATTGGGGGACGCGGGTGGCGCTGTGGGTTAAACCACAGAGCCTAGGACTTGCCGATCAGAAGGTCGGCGGTTCGAATCCCCGCGATGGGGTGAGCTCCCTTTGCTTGGTCCCTGCTCCTGCCAACCTAGCAGTTCGAAAGCACGTCAAAGTGCAAGTAGATCAATAGGTACCGCTCTGGCAGGAAGGTAAACGGTGTTTCCGTGCGCTGCTCTGGTTCGCCAGAAGCGGCTTAGTCATGCTGGCCACATGACTCGGAAGCTGTACGTCAGCTCCCTCGGCCAGTAAAGCGAGATGAGCGCCGCAACCCCAGAGTCATCCGCAAATGGACCTAATGGTCAGGGGTCCCTTTACTTTTAAGGAAAAAGTGGGACATTCCAAGATCAAATCAGAAACCGACATTTGGAGGGTCTGCACCTGCCCAGCGTGATTCAGGCCCCCTCCCACCCCCTACAACATCCTTTGAGTCCCACTTCAATCATTGGATGATTTGCCCCCTCCCCCATCTGCAATGCTCTCCTGCAGCTGCTACGAACTGCCCAAGCCTGTAGCAGCAGCCATGGAGAGGCAACAGGGTGATCACTTGCTGCTGCCGCTGCTTGAGACAAGCACTGGCTAATCCCCTTCCCGAACTTGGCAGCAGCAGCACTTGTGAGGGAAATAGGGATATTCCGGGATCAAATGAGAAACCAGGTTAGCTTTCATAATTCTGGGACTGTCCCTGGAAAATCAGTACACTTGGAGGGTATGTGTATGTATGTATATGTACTATATGTGTACATATAATATATGGACATAACCCTTCCTCCCTCTCCCTTTCTCTCTCTCACACACAAAAACACATATATGCAACACTCACATACTTTACTAATCTATATCATCCATATTAAATAGCCTAATCCTATCTATGTTAAAAGCAACAGCAAGATTCCTATTAACAACTTTGAGAAGTTGCAGATCCCAGCTCAATTTATATAACTCAAAAAGATAAATGCTAAATTGTTAGCTTCCATTGTTTAAGCTGCAGATTGCAGGAACATTTATTGATTACAAGCAATATCATTTGTTTTCATGCCTGGCTGCAACATAAATCACGTTTTGCCATTCAACCAGGGACAGATGGGGCTGAATGTTCTTAGATTCCCAGGGTTTGTTTTATTAAAGCAGAATGTACCTTGCCCTAACACAGGTGACTGGGTCTTGAGAAAAAGAACGTGAAAACAAAGAGGAGTCATTCTCTTGGTGGAAGCGTGTGCACTACAGCATTATAAATCTACAGTGAATCAAAACCATTCCTGTCTGTAGCTTTAAAATACATTATAAAAGTGCAAACATAATAAGCAGGAGATTACACACTGCACATTCATTAAGTTTTCTTCAGAAACAATGTACTTTGATTACCTGACAGAGGTATATTTATATGCAATGCAGTACGCAGAGGGTCTTATCTGGTCTACGTCAATGCATTCCTCATGGTTCTAAAAGGTCTTTTTTCTTCTTCTCTTAGTTGCTTCCTTTAAATGCATGTTACACTATGCCACTATGCAGCAATAGGTTTTTGACAGGAGAGAGAAAGAAAGAAGAAAGAAAGAAAGAAAGAAAGAAAGAAAGAAAGAAAGAAAGAAAGAAGAAAGAAATGCTGCTTTCTGACATCATGCTAAAACATAGTTTAATGTGGTGTGAACAGGCCTATTGTGTGGGTGGTGCTGTGGGTTAAACCACAGAGCCTAGGGCTTGCCGATCAGAAGGTCGGCGGTTCAAATCCCCGTGACGGGGTGAGCTCCGGTTGCTCGGTCCCTGCTCCTGCCAACCTAGCACTTTGAAAGCGCATCAAAGTGTAAGTAGATAAATAGGTACCACTCCAGTGGGAAGGTAAACGGCGTTTCCATGTGCTGCTCTGGTTCGCCAGAAGCAGCTTAGTCAGGCGGGCCACATGACCTGGAAGCTGTATGCCGGCTACCTCGGCCAATAAAGCGAGATGAGCGCTGCAACCCCAGAGTCGTCTGCGACTGGACCTAATGGTCAGGGGTCCCT